TCAGCAAAACACATTCCACAAGAAGCCAGAAATCATGCAAGTAAGGCCATCTTCATAGCCTTAGCCTAATCTTATCTACTGGAGAGATAACCAAGGGCTATAGCTTAGGTTTATAAGCCTTTATATAGCGTTTCAAAATCCAGGATGATTTTGTTTTTATCACTTAACTCCTCCATTTGCAGGTAGAAACCATTGTTTTTGGCTAGTCTGTATATTGCTTTGCAGATTAGGACATAGGCTACTTGAAGGGTGCCCTTTTCTGTCAGTTGGGTGTCCATTTTTTGTATTTCTGGGGCATGATTCCCAGGGAGGTCACTCTGTGACTGTATAACTGTCATATTCAGAACTTGGGAGTAAAGGCCACTGTTGTCTTTGGGGTGAGTTCCTTTGGCCAGAGTTAGAGCAGTGTGGAAGGATGTACCAACCTGTGCGGATTTACGCAGTTGCAGAGTTTTTACTGATCCCAAGCTACAGGTGAGATCTAGACTTCTTCAGCAGAATACGTGAAAGAGGGAAGCAAGCCAAAAATGTGCATAGGAGTGAGCAGTAGAGAGCAGTAGGTACCATACTTGCACTGGTCTGTTCAGCTTTGGGACTCCCTGAGCAGCCTTCTCTGTCAGTTAGAATTTTAAGTCTGCCTTATGGAGACCAAGTCTAAAACCAAAATTGATTTTACTCACAGGAGTAAAGCTTTGCTAAAAGTCAGAGCAGATTGTGAAGCAGTTCAGGATCTGTGTAAGAACACTCCACGTAACAACATACCCTCCATCCAGGCATTGACAGCTGTGTGCACAGATGACAAGGGAACACAGTTTGAAATAACTGGAAGAAAATTTGAGAATGGTTGAGAATTTGTCTTGGGGAAGACTCACCTAGTAATTATCCTGTTCAGGTAGCTTTCCTCTAAAAATGAGGATATTCTTAAAGCTTAGCAACATGTTTAAAAGGACATAATTAGACCTGTAACATCATATCAGCAAGCCCCTTATGGAATTCTTTTTATTGCTATATAGAACACAGATTCAACTGCTTAATTCCCAATTTGTATGGAGAAAGCATTAAGCCACTGCAATTTAAGACTCTTAACATTATGTCTTTTGTTAACTTAAAAATAATGATGGACTGGGTGTCCCTTTCCTAAATTGTGTGGTTTATTTATTTTTTCCATTTCATGGGAGCATTACAGAAGTATGTAGTGTAGATAAAGAGTATTTCTAGCCATCATCTTTGTGCTTTTCATCAATGCAAATTCAATCTGTCTTGAAAAGCACTGGACATTTTTACTTTTTACTTTTGGATATGTGTAAATCAATAGAAATAAAACCAAAGTTGTACCTATCCATCTGGATCCATAGTTTTTTCCTGTATTTTATGTCCTTTTATACTCAATTTGCATGCATGCATATAATAATTGTATAAAGAATGCTGATGTGGCATTTGTTGAGAGAATTTATTTGTTAAGGGACAGATTTTCTAGAAGTATTTGAAGAATGAAGGAATAATGAAGGTCATCTACTGCGGTTTTCAAAAATTTCTAAGGAAGAAATTGAAATCTGTGAGAGTGGGGAGTGAGCCCTTAAGAGGCTTTGTAAAGTATTCCAAAAGGTGTGTATCTGTCCGTGCACATTTGGACCTTCAGCACTACCACAGAATGGCCCACCCACCATATCTTTCTTCTGTCTGATCTAAAATATGAACTCAAATACTTTCTTCTTAAATTATTTATATAGTTGCTTCATGAGATGCAAACTCAGTGAGTGTCCTTGCTTACATCTCAGGAGAAAGTGTCATGTTTCACATTCAACTTATACTATGAGGACTGTTCACAAGCAAAAAGACAAACGTCATTTGTTAGAATGTTAGAATTGGTTAGAATTTGTCTTGGAATACAATCAAATGTAGTGGGTGCTGCTTTCAGTTAAGTAGAATTTGGTGAAATTGCACAAAGTAACAGAAGTTGCTTTCTTCATGTCTTCCATATTTTGAATAAAATCCTGCAAACATTGAGACTAATTCCCAGTACCTTTCATTCTTCCGTTTAAGTTACCTTTGATCTTGAGGTATAAAACTATTACTGCAGTTTTCCACATTAAAATGCTCAGTCTCCAGATGGAGCTGCCTGCAGTGCCCCACTGGGCTGGGCAGAAAGCCTTATCAGCAAGGTCTGGCTCTGCCACCCTCACCCCTCACAGGTAGCACCTCACTGGCACAAACAGCCTTTTTAGCTATCTTTTATTACTCACAAAGAAAGTGTTGCTTATTGTGAGTTGGGATGACAGAGTTGGGCCCTTGGTGAACAAAGAGTCCAGGATTATCATTCCAAAAAGCCCCCTGAGGCCTGTATCAAGAGTTATTAACCACTGATTCAGCACATAGCATTATTTTGTAGGCTTAAGTGGGATTTCAGTGGTATATTGGGTCTTGTGTCTGTGTAGGGGTAAATTTTGCCCTCTGTTATTTTATCGTATAAATAGCTCCTACCATTTCTCTTTTACATTGTTGCTTAAATCTCTTTCAAAGGTACAATATCTTAATCCACTGCTACCTTTCTTTTCCTTCTGATAAAGAATAAATAAATTTTCAAATACACATATGACTGAAACAAAAGGCAAATAAGCTCTGCATGGTGTGTATTTGTATTTGGTGAGGAATACCTCATTTTGATTATTTCAGTCATCATTCATTTGAAAAGCAGAAACTATGATTGTTAAGCCTCATTATTTTCAATGAAGCCTGACAGTTTCAAGGTTAAACAGAAGACAGCTACTTTCATCCCAGTGGTATTTCTCTTCAAACATGGGCAGCTCTTCACTGACTTGTTCTGCTCTGGTGTGCAGTGCCATTGCTTGGTCACAGAGTGGTGTACATCTAAACCCAGTTGTAGGACAGTGTGTAAGCTGTGACATTCTACTTGTGTTTCCCCAAAAGGAGCCTCAATTACTGAAGTCATTCCTCCCCCTCCACCCCCCTCCTTGAATAAGCCACACAATATTTCTTTTTAACTGAACAGTGATTTAAATAAGCCATGATCTCAGATTTTACAGGTTTTATGCTGTCTCCCAGAAAAACAATTTTCAGCCCAAACCTTCTGTTTGTCCAAACAGTTTGATGTGTTTCTCCAGTGCTTTTATGTCTCTGAAGTACATTAGAGAGGGTGCTAGTGTGAAAGAGACCTCCAGCAAGAGTTAAAATGGCTGAGAATGCTGCTGTGCTTCTGAATACACATGCTAGTGAAAGAGGACTAATTGCCATTGCTTTCTGAAATTGCTTATGGACTGACAGCAGATGTAAAAGGGAAACTTCCCAATAAGAGAGGCTGACAAAACTGACTGATCAGTAACTGAGTTAAAATCCTTAGAACTCAGAAAACGTTGATATATTCATGTGAGAAAACTTAAAGGAGCAAATAACTTGTGAAATCCCTGACTTTATACCTGCATGAACTGACAGCACTGAGTTTTGGCTGTTTGGGTGCTGCCTCTATAAAGACAAAGTGCATTAGATGTTATTTTACAAAACCAGGGGTAAATGCACTAGTTGGTTAAGAAGTAAAAGTAACTATTGGAAAACTGAAGGGAGAGGAGCAGTGTTTTAGCAATTTTTTACCTGTGTATCCATTCCCCCAGAGTCCCTGTGGAACAGCGAGAATGAGCTGAACTTTCCACATACTTTTCCTAGTGTCTGATGATTACATTTGGGTGGTGAATTCTTAATCTCATTTCAGGAATTAAGTCACCTGGTGAGTACAATGAAAGGTGTAGCTTCATCGTGCTTGGTGGTTCCTGGAAAACAAGAGTGTTTCAATACGTACCAAGCACATTAGTCATGACTTGTGGCAATAAATCCGTGTTGACTAGTTTACGTGCACTGAAGTTACTAATGCATTCATTAGATAAAATGCATTTTGCAATTTTGATAAAGCTGTGTTATTTTTATTTCCTATCTGCATTTCTCATGTTGTATAATATTTTTTTAATTGTCTTTCAAGATAAGAAAAAAATGGTCAACTTTGTAACAATGAATACAGCTATTTGAACCTGCAACTCTGTTTATCCATTGTGGAAGCTGTGTGTATAATATTCTGGACATGGCTGTGAAAGTGTTCTGCTACACACAGTGTCTGCTTTTATATAGATGGTTTATTTGTGGAAGAGTTTTCATTGAAGGATACCATAAAACACAGACAAATTGAAGAAATAGCTTGAATACATGATTTCTGGAATACTGAAGATAAATGTGTACAGATACAAAATTATAAACAAATTTAGTCCTTTGCATTTTTCTACATAATTTAAGAAAAGAAAAATCAAATTAAGCCAGTGAGATTGAACATGTTTAAAGTGCCTGTGCCTTAAAGCTAAGAGGATTGGGCAGCTCTCTGTCCTACTTACTTACACTGTTAATTTTTCTGTAGTTGTATTGACACAATAATCACACAGGCCACCTTCAAAATATCATCATCCATGTCCTCAGAAACTTGGCTTGTTAAGTATTTTGAAAAAGTTTTTAAATAAAACACATCAGCTTTTAGACATAAATTTATAAACTGGACAGTAAAAGTATCTGTTGGATAATGAGCAAGATATTATTTAAAGGGAAACAATAGTTAAGTGCAACATTTAACAAGAGTCACGGACAGCTCATATTTTTAAAAGTGTAAAAATTAATTGTCCTGCTTACACCAAAGTGTATATTGTACCACAGGGTTGCTGTGTTTTGTGTTAATGCCATACAAGGCCCTCAGATACATCATGCAAAGGAGAAGTGAGTTGATATATATCACTGACTGCAGATGGGTTGGGATGTAGGTTACAAAGTTTTTCACAAGTTGTCTGCATTTTCCCTTAATGTCTCTCTTTTACAGTAGTGCTTTGTTTCTGAGCGTGACCACCACCAGGACAGCTTGGTTCAGTGCAAACACTGTCTCTTTCAGCCAGAACATTCCTAACATTAGCTTCCTTTTTTTTTCTCTCCTCTCCCTCTCCCCTGCCCCCTCTCAGGTTGGAAAGGCTGGTGGACGTCCTGAGGAAGAAGGTTGGAGCAGGGACCATTAGGACCGTGATCTGATTGAAAGCTGTAGTCTAAGGAAGCTTTCACATCTGGTGACCAGGCTGCTTCATTCAGCACTGTGTAAACACTGAAGCCTTAACTTAGCAAACAGTTGTTAGAAGTGGGACACTCCAGTGACATTCCAAGCTGAGATAAAATCAAATCATAAATGTTTAACTACTTTGCTGCTGAGTTCTGTGATTTGTTAAAATGTTTCACTGCAAACATATGTTTGTTTTTAACCAAATGCATTGTGGCACAGTGTATTGTGAAAAATTATGTAGATGCTTATTTTAACAGTCTGTCTTCTCAGTGTTAAGACTATAGTCTGCTGCAAGGCACAGCATGGTCATTTTTTAAATACTGCAGGCTTCAGGTTTAAAATGCTGCAAAGCAGTTTCAAAATTTAAATCCCTTATTTTATTTGTGAGGCTAAAAATAGTCCATTATTTGTATGTTAAATATATTAATTTATAAAGTAGGTTGGCATTCAAGAAATATCTCTGGCTGGTATATTGGACATTTTTTCCTCCTTATTCATAGCCCATTGAATTGCAGGTAGTTACTGTGGCTACATCAAAGGGCAGGATAAATGTATAGCTTTATACAACAGTTGAATAGCTTCTGCTAGTACATGGCATTTTCAGTATACATTAAAAAGAAATTTACGTTTAGGTTTGACTGGAAATACAGCTTACAGAATTGCAACATGAAAGCCTTGTGACATTGTACAGTGTATCAGACAGTAGAGAAAATTTCCTATATTCTTTTTAATCACTCTTCTGTCTTTTTAAATGAGGAAAAGCTTTCAGATTTCAGAAAGCACCTTATCATTTAAAATTTCACCTTTTCAGTGTTTGCCTCTTCTCATCCCCATTCTACAAGACTCAGATTGCTCTGTAGTGCAGGAGTACCATCCAGGTTGGGTTTGAGGCCAAACTATCAATCCTCAGCTTTCTGTACTCATGAAGTGCCCAGGACTTAAAGTCTGAAGCATTGAATGTGACAGGGAGGAGAGAAACTGAGGACTGAGGAGGAAAATTTGGGGTACATAGACATTATAGGCTCTATGATACATTAGAGTTGAATTTAGAGTTGTGTTTGTGACCCAAGAATTTCCCTGTATGAACAGTCAGGCCAGTACTCACAAAATCCTGCTCAAGAAAGCAGCTGTAATCTCTGAGCATCCCAAATTCAATGAAGAATCTCAGCAGCCAGCTGGGCTTTAGTGTCTCCTCAGGACAAGCCTACTCAGGCAAGGTGGATGTAGCTCCCGAGGCTTCCACTTGTCTGCTTTGCTTTGTGTTTAATGTTGTCACACGGTCTTACCTCTTAATGCTTGCTTGTTCAGATGTTGTGATAGTGCAGTCTATCTTGAAAAAATGAAATTTTAGTTTTAGGTGTAGAGAGAGACATTTTAGTGTCTGTTTTTTCTTTCAAACACTTAAATGTTAAACCTTCTTCATCTGCAGACCCAAGCCCCTCCTAGTTTCAGCTGACTAAATCTAACCTCTTACAGGGAGATAAGTAGCATCCCTCCAAGCCACATTTACCCACGTCACTTCTAGAAACTTCTGAAGTGCTCCTTTTTGACCTTTGGTCAATCCTAAGATAGCCAGTGAGTCTGGAGCCTCTCCCCCACACCTATTCAGTGGGAAGAAATTTTAATGCTTCCAAACCAGAGGATTGCCACCCCCCAGATTCCGGCCCCTTCACCATCTCCTGTGTGCTGCTGGTCAGCTCGTTGGGTGACTCAACAGCTCTTTGTCCTCCTGTCCTCATGAGCTTTGTGCACAAAGTGGATGACAAGATCTCCTGAGCTGTCAGTGCTATTGAACTATTTCTGCTGTAAGGAAGGAATAAAGACAAAAATGTAAGGACTACTATGCTGTGCTAGACCAAAGCCCAAAGACTGCCTTTGGCAATAACAAATTGCCAAAGGCAATGCCTAGGAAAGGTAAAAAGTCAGGCCAGATCTAGTGACAACTCTCTCAACTGGTGTCCCAGCAATTTGTTAGTTAGAGGCTTTCTAAGCCAGAGGTGGTGTCTTTGTATTTAGCAGCACTTTTTTATGACCCGTTTTTTAATCCATTAAAATTGTTTGTATCTACTTGTTCCTTTCACAAGGTCTTTTGCAGTTAATGATGCATCGAATTAAAAAATACTTCCTTTTCTCTTATGAACCAGCTCTATTCATTTGCTATCAAGTTTGTGTATGAGAGAAGTGGTGAGGAACTATTCCCTGTTCATATTTCCATGTCCCATGTGATTTTACATATTTGGCATCATTTCCCCTGCTTTTCTTTTCCATAGAGAGCCCCTAGTCTCATTTAAAGGATTTGTCCCATGTTTTTAATTGGCTTTGTCATACTAATCTTTCTTTTTTTTTCCAGCTCTGCAGTGTTTTTACCTAGATGCAACACGGTTTGTGCCTAGTGTTCAAGATATAGACAAAATGTGACTTTAATGGTTGTCATAATTATGTTTCCGATTCTCTGTGCTATTTGTAACCGTGTTTAACATTGGACTTGCTTTCTGACAGATTATTTATTTGTATTAATATTTCTGTAATAAAATGACAACTCCTCTAGATCTCCTTCCTCAGTTGTAATGTTCAGTTCAGAGTTCATTGTAGCCTGAATGAAGACAGAACTGTTTTATGAATAACACAGCATTTATGGGTACTGAATGTCACCGGTTGTTTTTGCATTCCCTGGTGACCATAAGCTCTTAGCCCATCTCTTCTCACAGCTCCTCTTTAATACTGACAGTACTGAAGTATCATCAGCATCTCCATGCTGAGTATGGTGATATGAAATACTGGCATCTCCAAATTAACCCCCTCTTCAAGGTGATTTCTTAGTTAAGTTAAACACGTCTTCTGGGACAAAGATGCCTGTAGGACAATAAGGTAGCTTTTCCTTCACTGTGAGAAGGAAACATTTATTCTTACACACTGTTTTAATATCACTTTGAAGTACTTATTTTTCAGTGTAAAATTATTAATTATTGCTTGGAAGCTTTTGTGGGGAAGTTGTTTGCTACTTTGAAAATGCAAGTTTACTAAATCAGAGCTTATGTTCCATGCATGAATGTGCTGAGTTCCTCCTTCCCCTTGGAGTGTCTAGAACTCCTCACCGTTTCCCAAGTATTTCTGTGTCCAAATGAATAATCTTGTGAATGCAGACTTCCTACAGCCAGACTGTTTGACCTCCACCCTCTTGTGTCCATTGGCTTTTTTTGGAAAAGTAAATGGGCCATGCAAAAGCGATCTAGCAGGCTTGATGTCAGATACATTTGATTGCAGGTAATACTTGATTCAATAAAATTAAGTGACAGTTTTGCTCCATAATTTTTCTTTTGACACATTATACCCAAAGTGAAAAAATAGTTCCTGACTCTGTCTTTTGTCTTGCACCAAGCAGCCTGTAATTCAGTGATAATTTACGTTAGGGTGTTTCGTCATAAATGACAAGTGTGGATAAATGTATTTTATTTGTGATTAAATCAAATGTGTTGATTTTTAGAATTCAGCTGGAAATGTTTCTATTCTTTGGAAAGAACCATGGGAAATTTACTATGTTGAAGTAGAAAGATTCAAAAACACTTGGGTTCTCCCTCTTCCTTGCTAACAACCTGGTGTGTGGTCTTTGGCAAATTCCTTAGTGACTGTTGATAAAGGTATGCAGTCCCTGAAGAGGTTCCTGGGCTCCTCCAGGGTGTTTGCAAAGGTATCTATGTGGTTAATGTCAAAACACTTTCACTTCTTCACCTGCTGAAGTGAGCAGCGTAAATCACATAGGTCTGGTAGTGGAGGCCCACCCCTTAGTGCCCTCAGCAGAACTTCTGGTCCTGTTGAGCCCGGCCTAATTTCAGCCTTTCAATGTAATGAGGGCAGGAAATCTGCTCTGGTCAGTAGAAAGAGGCGATACGGACAACATGGGTTAATGAGCTTATCATATTGTTTATTCATTGAGAACTGATTGATGCCTGTGCAGAGCTCTGAAAGTGAAAAGAAACCTGCTCCCATACAGCAGACAAATTCAATTGTCACTTCTGTCCTAATATATGTGAGAAAGATGAGATTGCATCTGATTATGTACCAGGAGTAGCAATTCATTTCCCTCCTGATGGAAAAACAGTTCATGATGAAAGGTGGCTCACCACAGGTGAATCTTATGGTGACAACTGTAATTACTGGTCAAATTAGGGTCCCTGCTGTCTGGAATAAAACAGAGATACTCAGAAATGTTCTTCCCCTGTGAGATTTTGGGTCTTTTTCCTGATGATCCTGCAGCACGTGATGCATTGGGAACCATTTCTGGTATATGCATGGGTAAAATATGTAAATAGCATCATGTTGGCTCGGGATAAGAGCATTATTAATGCTTTTCAGCACTGTAATTATATTCCTAGTAAGCCTTCCCTAAGCCCTCACTAATTAACAATATTGTGACAAATCAACTTTAACAGAAAAGAACTGTGGACCTTTAGTCTTTTAGTACTATTTTTAATGCAGCACACAGCTGAATACTGGTGGCGTGGCTTTCTGTACTAGTGTTGGGAAAACTGCTGATACTGAAAAGTTTACGGCCAGCTCAGTCTTGTTAGTGGAGTCCTGTAGCTAAATTCTGTTTAGTTCCTCTTTAAATACATTCATGGCAAAATAAAATTCATTAGTTAATCATTAATGTTAAGGAATATTAAAACTGTTTTTATAAATAAGCTATCATTGAAATGGTTTGGTGATGTCAGTATGTTGTCATATGCACATTTATTTGTTTATTCCAAATCAGGAACATTTTACAAGATTGACTTTATATATATTCTTACCAGGTGATCAAGAGTTGTAACATCTTTAATCCATGTACACAAATGAACTTACTGTCTAAATGTCAGGATTTCTCTGTGCCTTTATTTCTGTCAATTAGGAAAGGGCTGTTGGTTTTGTTGGGTTTTCTTCTTCTTAACTTCTACTGCTGAAGTTTTCCCCCCCATGCAAGAATCAGCTGTGAGGCACATGAAATCACTGCTGGGCAGTTTCTCCTGCTGCGATCGCAGCAGTACATGGGCTGACTCTTATCGCTGTAACATTTCACATCGGGTCTGCAGAACTGGACTTTCTTTGTTTGTTCTTCTCATGCATTGGTAAATAAAATGTATTCACAAGTTCAAAAAGACAAAGTAGTGTTCTCTTATTAAGTCGATTATAAGTCAGCTGTTGAGCTTCAGTGTTCTGAAAATTTCATTCTTCAGTTTTGTTGGGAGCCCACGTGTTCTGGGAGGCTTTTAAACAAATACTTGAAATGGTTGAAAGATTTACATTGCCAGAGCCTAGCTAAATATGTAGTCTTTAGAAAAGACATGGTTTATTTTGGCACCATTTGAAAAACTCAAATATTTTAAACATTTGTTAAGTTTGAGCTTGCACATTTGAACTAAAAGTTTGCATTCCAAAATTGCATCTCAGGTTACCTGTCTCTCTCTCTTTTGTATTTTATAATCCCTTTATTAAAATAGTCTGCAAAAAAAGTTGGGTTTAAGTGTGATTTTTTTTATTGTTAATTGTAAAATATTGTCATTAAAAATCAATTTTAAGGTAACATGTACCTTGTAACTTTGTTCAACTAGATGTCACCAATACAAAGCCAGAAGTGTTTTCAGAATTTAGGATTTTATGTTGGTAGCCAATACTTGGTTGTAAAATTAATGGAACACAGTAATAGCAGGACCAAATCCTGCAGTGCTTTTCTCTTAGTCCTATTATGTACTGTAATGAGTAAGTACTAACTTTGCTGGTGAGTGCAAAGCCAGGTAATAAAGAAAATAGACTGAAAAGCTATGAAATAGAACAGCTTGAGGAAAAGGAAGAGCAGTCTTTGACTTGGAATTGGTTTTCTTTTCCTTCCTTTGTCAGAAAGGAGGAGCAAGGCCAAGGTTTAGTCCAGTTGAAAAAAAAGATAAAAACAAACACAAAAAAGCAAAAAAAAACCAGCATCCAAAATAACATCACTTTTATTTTCTTTGACGTTTTAACCTGAAACTTGTACTTAAAACCAAAAAGTTGAGAATTTATTAATTGAAATCACCATATTTTGTTCAAAACCTGCCAGTCACCTGTTCACAAGTCCTGAGCACACTGTTGCAGTGGTGTTCATGCTCTGGCGTGTTGCCCAGGCAGTTGCCAGCTGCAGAGGGTCACACTCCTTTCTGAGAAGCTCTCATCAGCGGGAATCAGGCATGATCCCTCATGGTGACCTCGGGCCAAAGGTCCATGCAGTGCCACGTTGACAAAAGTTCATCATGGTTTGAACAGCTTCTGACCATGATAAATGCAGGTCCATTTTCATATGGTAAAACAGCAATATAACCAATAGAGTTGGTCACAACTGCTTCCCAGTGCCATGAAAATAAAAGGTTAGGATTGCCCTTGCAGAATACATGACATAAATTTGTGATGATTGATGATCTCACATGAATATGCACACTACATTTCACACACTGTTCAAAAAGATAGTGGTTTTGCAAAGAATTTAAAGAATGGAAATTGTTTTATTTGTTCATTAATAAGTATTAACAGAACTGGTTGCAGTGACAAACTTATAAGAAAAATCAAAATATTAAGATGCAAAAATAAAAAGCTACTTTGGTAGTACTCTAATTTATTGTCTGAAGCCACAGGACTTTGTTCATGATTATTTGGCTCACTGATGTGGTGCCTATATTCCACAAGTTTTATGATCAATGAGATAAAAATCTCAAAAATCAGTCTATGAGAAATGAGGCTACTGGAGTGGATGTATGTCTAAGTGGATGTAGCTATCAATTTAGATGTACTCCTTAGAATCAAGATTTCACATATGTCTAAGTAAAATCAAAAAGTTAATTCATTTCTTCATATAAATAAAATAACAAGCAGTATGGTCTTCATCAATACATGCGCATAGCACTAAAATCATACCATCTGGTACTTTAGTAGGGTATATAAAATTAAAAGAGCTTTGTGTCTTCACTTTAGACAGGGAACATTTTCCCTCACCCTTAACAATCTACCAGTGTTTAGAGTACAAGATAACAATTAAATTTTGAGCAGAACACCAGAAAGTATTGGGTGAAATACAAATATGCATGTGTGGAAGCTTTGCCTGCTTCAGACAGAAGAGGATAAAAAGTTATTAGAATGAGCAACAGAAATACTTTGCTATGCTTACATATGGAGTTTTAAAAACTTCACGGAAGTCAAAGCAAGACACAGCTGTTCTAATATTTGAAAGTAGATGTCTCAATAAGGTTAAAGTTGGTATGTCAGCATAAGGCTAGGAAATTATTTGAAAATTGGTTGTTTCATTTTTTTACTAAATTTGTGTTTGATAGAACAAGCTACCTTGGTTCTAAATTTCAAATAAAACATTTCTAATTAACACATACCTGTTTTTGTCAGCAGATAATCAGTATGAAAATTGCCAGTCTCCTCTACTTCTGTTGTCCTATTGCTAAGGTTTTCTCAATATATACAGGAAACAAAAAAGTTGTATTAAAATACTAAATATTGAGTTATATTTAGTAGGATCTGAACCCTTCTACAATTTTCATCAATAGATCTCAGAACACATTTGAAAGAAAATTTAATAGCATTTTGTACCTAAGTTGGCAGAAGTGCCTAAATGAGCATTTGACTACATGACTGGCCAGATATAGGGCAGATGTGTAGGAAGGCAGTGGCAAACAGCTTGAGGAGCTGCAGCCTTTTCAGTGGACCAGACTGATAACCACTAGGAAGTCTGGAAGATCTAATTTACAGCTCTCAGGTATTTATTCTCAGCTATCCAAGATAATCTGTTGCCACTCTATGAATAAAGGCAAGGGCCCTGTCTATAGCAAAGTTGTCATTTGGCGTCAATTATTTGCTTAGTAGTTGCCTTAAGACAAGCTATAAAGTCACATCAACAACAAATTTTATATTTACAAAAGGAATAGTATCCCTGTTGGACTGCTTTGGGAACTAATATTTGGCTGCTGTACCAAAAATCTGGAAAAATCTCTGGAGCTCTGTACCTCTTACATGGACTATACTGGAGAATCAATGAAACTGAATTGTACCATCCTAATTTACTCTGGGTTTCTGCTTCTGTGAATTACAGCAATGTTTAGCTGTGCAGAAGGGAGTGGCTCCTTTGGAGACAAAGAGGATCCTGTGGAGTTTCAGAGCGTCTGAAGACACATGTGGAAATGAATGGATTTCATGGGGAGCGGAGCTCAGAAAGGTTAGTGTGATCTTAGGGCCAGACTGCTCCCACAAGGGATACCAACCTGTGGGGACAGCTGTGTTGTGTGCAGTAACTGAGTTGCAGCAGCAGCAGCACGGTGAAGGTGCTGATGTCTCTTCTGCTGACTAGACAACCCACATTCCCCCTTCCCCACGGGTGCAGGGTTCCTTGCCTGGTGCACATGCATGCATTGCCAAGACAGAGATCCTCACTTGGGCCTTTAGACCACCTCACTGCTTGGGCCCAGACACCTCCTATACTAATGTTTTTCTGTAATTCACCAGGTCTCCATGAAAGACAGCCAGATAAGTATTGATCAGCCCAGCTGTGGCCAAGATTGGTGGGGCTGTACGTGCCAGTCGAGTGGGCAAAGGGAAAGAGAGGTCAGGACAGAAAGGAGAGGAGAAATGGTAGAGGTGACCATGCTTGGCAAATCCTCATAGGGTCTTGAGATTCTGTCTGGCTGTGTGGTCCCAGCAGACAGGGAACCACAGACATGCATTTCCACAGAGAACTGGAAGCCAGTCTTTAATACCATACCCAGGCTTGCCAGCCACCAAGGCCTGACTGTGCCTGATGTCATCTCTGATTTACACAGGCAATCAAATCTCGGCCTAAGCCATTCACAGAAGCTGCTTGTTGGGCTACTTTCAGTGTTTCTGTACATCCTTGCTAGAGTGAGGAACCTATCACAGATGCATGAGCCAGGGCTGTGCTCAGCTGGTAGCTGCACCTCTGCTGGAAGAGCTGAGACCAAGTCATGATTACCAGGTCAGGCAGTGCAGGAGAAGCAGACCCCTAGAGCTAAAAGATGGCATGTAGCACCCACAGCCAGCTGCTGTACCTTTGGAGCTGGCTCCACAGAGATCCCTGGGATGGGTTGCCTGGTGGCAGGCAGTAGAATCACATCTCTTAGTTTTGTGTCATTTCTGTGGGATCCTGAGTGCCTTGAGACTGCTCTGGGACATGAACCAAAACGCAGAAAGTGAAGCCAGATGGGTGAATGGCTTTTAAAATGCATGACTATAGATGCATCGAGTGAAATTTGCCTCAGAAATTTGCTCTTCAGAGATATCTGTCTGCCTGGATTTTGCACAGAAAAGGGCTTGCTCCCTCATTCTGTCCCAAAAGCACTGCATATGGGACTAACTGCACTTGTTTGTAGTATTTTGGGACTGCAGTTTACTCCCCTCCTGAGAGCCTGAAGTGCAGGAGAAGCAAGGACAAAGATGGACAAACTCACCCTGCAATGTGTTGAGCAAAGGCTTGACTAAAGGCTGTGTTGTCAATGCACAGGGATAGGTGTGAACAGTGAGAGGGACTGTTCATATCTGCACAGCTACAGCACCAAACCTTTGAGTACAGCAACGACCACCATGGCACAAGATGGATGAAGGTCAGCAAGGTTTGCAGTTTTGCTCTTCTTTGATCACATAATGGAGAAACTCAACTCAACTGGCTTTCAAGCAGTTAAATGCCAGGCTTGCTACACAGTTTCCCTGTCTGCTGAGGATAATTTTATTTCCCCAAAGCTCTAATATCCACTGGAGTAAGAATTATAAATCTGAACAACTTGTGCCTAAAGAAAATGAACTTCATCCGTGGGTGTTTTTTTGAAATCCCACAGGACTTTTCTCAATAGTCCTACATAGCAAATCAACAACTGCCTGTTCTAACAATCCACCCTGTTTTCCAGTAATGGAATTATCCTTGTAATTTTCCATTCATTGAAATCTAGTCTGCAAGTGACCAGCTTTGCATGTTACGAGGTGCTTTCTCCAGAACTTTACCCTCACACAGCCTCATTTCCTGCAGAGCCAACTATTGCTCTTGAGTGACCTGCTACCTACTATCTCATTAAAAGTCTGGGGTTTTTTCAGGGCTATTGACATTTTATCCACTTAGAGCTTT